TCTTCTTTTTTATCTGCATTAAACATTTTCTATAAGGATCACTATGAGTTGGAATCAACATGATGGTAGTGGGTACAATCAACATATATTACTGTGGTAGTGTATTGTCCTTGGTTTCTGATTTCTACCAAAAAAAATTGTCCTTGTTTTTTAAAAGAAGAAAAGAAAGGCACAGAATAGATTTGTAGAGGGGCTCAGCATGTGGATTTTAAGTGTATATGTGAGCAACCACTCTAAATTTAATATTCATAGTGAATTTAATATCCCTTCCAATGGCCCATGCATATTGAATGGATTTTTACTTACATAATTTCTGTTTTCTCACAGGAAGGGCTTGGAGCAAATTGTTGAAGGTCTTTTAAGGATTGTGTTTGGATCTTCTCTTGGTTGGTTTCAATGCAGGAGCAGCGTCCTTTCCTCATTACTGGGATTCCTAAGGGGAAAAGGAGGATGGCTAACGAAAGGTTGGCCATTCTAATCCACCCAGCAGAAAAAAAGGCCTGGTCATCTTCTGTAAAGAGTACAGCCAAGAAAACCCTATAGAACAGTTCTACTCTGTAACATATAGGGTTGCCATGAGTTTGAATCAACTTGACAGCAATGGAGTTTTGAAGGGAAAGGGTGGAGCACATTAGTTTAGGGCAATATCTTAATTTAAAAGAACCAGCAAATTGATACATTTGACTTAATAAATAATTATTGCTGTCATTTACTCAATGTCTATAAATCGTCTCCACAAACTTTCAAAGTAGGTATTATCTACATTTTAAATAAGGAAGCTAAGGTTCAGAGAGGTTAATTAAAGAACAAAATCCTACAGCTCTGAGAGAGCACTGTCAGAGTTTGAGCTCTGGTCCCTCTGAAGGACCATATCATACCTTACAGCTTAGGAGGAAAAGAGACCTTTACAATGTTTAAGAAATGCCTGCCTATCACAGGTCAGACACATAGACACCTAATGTGCAAATTCATGTGTGTTAAGCAGACCATGAAGTCTTACGCAACTCGTAAGCCCTGAGAATTCATTTATTATCTGAATTAAGTGGAATAGAATTATCTGTATTAAGTGTAATAGTTGGTATCGGTTTGAGCAGAAATTTCTGCTTACACTAATCAAGTACGACTACTCTCCTCATCCTTCCTCTGTTCTACTGCTTTGATTTTGAATAGTACTTTAAACTTTGGGAAACCTTTGAAAATCCATTACCTTTGTCCCTTCAACATGTATATTGACCTGTTCTTACTATACGCCCCACTTGGTGAGGTAGGTAGGAAAGGTGTAACTATAAAATCTCCATTTTAAAGATGAGAAAATTGAAGCTTAGAAAGATATAAGTAATTTTTCCAAAGTAACAAAGCTGTTAGTAAGCAGATTAGGGACAACCTCCCTGATTATTAGATCTTTAATCACTTAACACAGCCATATTTATTAAGAAAGAACATCAGGGTGATAAAACACATTTTGGAGACAGAGTCTTTCATCTCACTATCACCTAGTCCAACAAACATTTAATGAACATTTTCTAAATGCCAGGAATTTACACACCTGGACTGAGAAGATTTGTATTTGATTTGGCAGGTTTAAGTTATGAACTTTGGATAATAAACTACATCACCAAGAAGATTTGTAAGTTACCCTTATCACTTTCTGATGTATGTAGAACATGCATCTTTATCAGGTGAACCAAGAGACTTATATAACAATTCACATCCTTAACTTTACTCACCTAATGTAACTCAGAACCCCTTACCTTGAGCTCCAATCAGAACCAGGAAGATGATACCCAAGAAGAGAACACCACTTTTCTCCATAGTGGCAGGATGGAAGTTTACTGAGTCACTCTTGTATTGGACTTCAGGCCTCAGAAATTCTTTAGAAAACATGTTTTTGGAATTATATTTATTTAGGAAATCCATTTCTCTCCTCTACTCTGATTGGTTGGTGTTCTTAGCTGATACAGCTAAACTAACCGCAAGCTAAATTGTGCTGGGGGAAATCCTACTCTCAGATCCAAGGGAATTTCTGCATGCCTATTTCCATTTCACATAAATGGGTGGTTTATAGTAAGGGATGTGAAACCCACATCACTAGCAGCCTTTAGCATATTTACAGAGGCTTACCTGGGCAAAGAATAGGTTACATAATGAATATAATAATACTATAACACGAAGGTTGGAGATGTGATTCTCAGGAAATATTAAGGTCCAGATAAGTAATATCATTTTTGAAGTACATACTTTATAATATGTGGCTACATTTCTCTTTTCTTACATTTCCCACTCAACAGCTTAAAACATCTTAATTTCCTCAGAGACCAGGTCATTTTCTACTTACTAGTGGCAAGCTCTCATGGTGTAGTGCCTAAAGCATTTGACTGCTAACCAGAAGGCTGGCAGTTCAAACCCACCAGCCACTCCTAGAAAGGAAGATTGGGCAATCTACTTCCATAGAGATATGCCTTGGAAACCCAAGGAGAGGTCGCTATGAGTCAAATTGACTCAATGGCAGTGAGTTTGGGTTGTTTTTTTTTTTTTTCTGAGTGGCAAGCTCATTTTTATATAATTGTTGCTACAGTTTATTACATTTAAATAGTTATTTTAGTTAGAATAAGGATACAGGTGCATGTAACAGAGACTCAAATTAATAGTGGGAAGGTTGGGCAATCTACTTCTGTAGTGATACTGCCTCAGAAACCCAAGGAGGGATCACTATGAGTCAGGTCCGACCCGACGGCACATAACAACAACAACAACAAATAAGATAGAAGCATATTTCTCCCTGACAGAAGTAGATAAGTAGATGGACTAAGGCTTATATGGTTGTTCTGTTCCATGAGGTCTCCCAGGCTCTTACTAGATTTATTTTTGCCATCATCTCTAGATTGCTGCTCTCATTCACATATTCCAAGGTGGCTTGCCATCATGTCACATTCCAAGTACAAGATGGTTGCACCCATCACTTTCTATCACCCCCTTCCCCCGCCATCAACCAGAACTTCCACACAGGGTCACACCTAGTTGCAATGGAAATTAAGAAATGTGGTCTTTATTCTGATTGACCAGCTAAAAATTGGAAGTTCCATTACTATAGGACAATGTTTCTCCACATTTTTTTTTCATTATTATCACTTCTGGAGAAAAATTAAATTTAAATGAATTAAATTCAATCAATTAAAGTAAAAGTCTCCCTAATGAGAGGAATTAAGTACTAAGAAATAGTATTTATTGGGTAGGGTTGAACTTGGGTGGATCACTAGCATTGTAAATTAACTCCCCCAAGAACCAATTTTGTCCCCTCTAGGGTAATATCTTCCTTCATTGAGAACATGATTTTGGGAAACATATTTTTATATTAGCAATTTCTCTACCTGGGGCGGGAAAAAAAACAAACCATCACCATTGAATCAATTCTGACTCATGGTGACCCCATGTGTTACAGAGTAGAACTGCCCCTTACAGTTTTCTTGACTGTAATCTTTATGGAAGCAGATTGACAGGACTTTCTTCTGTGGCACTCCATGGTGGGTTCAAACTGCCAAACTTTAGGTTAGTACCAAAACCAAAAACCAAACTTATTCCCGTCGAGTTGGATCTGACTCATAGCGACCCCTCCTTTGGGTTCCGAGGCAGTATCTCTAAGGAAGTAGATTGCTCAGTCTTCCTTCTGAGGAGTGGCTGGTCGGTTTGAACCACCAGCCTTCTAGTTAGCAGTCAAATTCCTTAGGCACTATGCTACCAGAGCTCCTTTTAGGTTAGTAGCCAAGTGCAAACCATTTGCACCATCCAGGGACCTGTTTCTGCCACATAGTGTATATTTTTGGATGGTTATTATATGAGTTATTAATGCCTAAATAAAAAAATATGGAATTTTTTTTTTTTGGTTTTTAAAAAATATTTTAAGCTGGAGTTCCAGTAAGATGGCGGACTAGGCAGAAATACTCCACAGACCCTCTTCAAAAAAGAAAAGGGAAACCAATTAACACAGATACAGAAGATAATCCCGGACCCCTGAGCTTTGAAGGGGAGGCTATAGAAGTGGACAAAACCCCAGCTAGCAGAAGAATTTGCATGAAAATACCAAAAAAGGGGACAGAAGTATCTGTGGTCTGGCAGCGATCCTGATGGCACAGCACAGACAGCTTGGAGATTCCCGAGTGGTGGTAGGACCTAAGAATTAACCTAAAAATCAGCCCTGCTAGTCAGGGACTGTATGGAGGATTGCTTCTGTGACTGGGGAATAAACAGAGAAGGTGAAGAGAAAGGCAGGCTGAGATGTGAACTTTTGCTGGTCTGGAGGGTGCCACCATTTTGAAGGTTTAAAAGCACCTTAACTATTTTGGATATTTAAAGAGATAGCGCTCTGACAGATTCCTGGGGCTTAAGAACATGTTCTGCTTGCCAGCAACTGCAAGGACACTCTGGACCTGCAAGACTGAAAAGGTCCTCTTGTGACTCTTATACCCCACACCTGCTTGGTGAATGGAGGTGTGGCCATCCCC